ATATATATATATATATATATATATATATATATATATATACCGTGTATCTATGTATCTTATAAAATAGATACACTTATTACTAGGTTGTATGGAGAAAAAAAAGGGAAAATTTCATATATGGCAAACTGAATTTATGAAATAACATTGTATGGGTATAATTTACATAATTACATTCTATGAGTATAGTTTAGTTTGTTATCTAGCTTTTAATTTGTATAAAAAAAATTTTAAAAAAGTTGTATTATATTTTACTTTTTGATTAAATAGTAACAGTAGCCCTAAATACGGTAACAAACATTTACATAATCCTATGATTTAAGCTAAACATTCAAAATCAAATATCTTCTCAAAAAAGAATTTTATAGCGACAGAAAGATTATACAAACTTGTTTCCAAGAAACTAAACTCTTTAATGTATATAAAGTTTATATACGAATGTAAATAAATTGAATATAAATTGTTTAATTTCTATCAAATTATAAAGTAAATTATTATATACATATACAAGTAATTGTATATGTATAAAATAAAAATATGAATACAGTACTTGTATATATACAAATTCCTCAACCAATTTTGTATATAATAACGTAAGTTATAAAAAAAAATTATGATTTAAAACAAATAACTATACCAATTTTTTAAAAGTAATTACTTATATACATATATAACTAGTTGAATATACAAAAAAATTTGTACATGTATAGAAAAAGTTTATATACGAATGAAAATAAAATGAATATAAAAATATACAAAAAATTGTATATGTATAAACAAGGTTATATACGTATGTAAATAAAATGAATATAAATTGTTTGATTATTATCAAATTGTAAAGTAATTATTATATACATATACAAGTAATTATATATGTATAAATAAAAATATGAATATAGTACTTGTATATACACATGCCCCTTAAGCAGTTTTGTGTATAATAACGTAAAATACAAAAAAAATTGTGATTTAAAACAAATAATTGTATCAATTTTGTAAATTAATTACTTATATACATATATAACTAGTTGATTATACAAAAAACCTAAAATATGAATATAACTACACAAATACCTTGATAAGTTTTATATATAATAATTCGATGTACAAACAACTATATACACAATATTCAAACAAGTAATTCTTACAAAAGGAGATGAATCTTCCATTCTGATTTTGAAGAACTTGTAATTTGATAAGAATAAAAGATTTTTTCAAAAAAAAATATATGAAATACTAAGAAGTATAATACATATACAATTGTTGATGAAGAAATTTCTTTTTTTTTAAAAAATAGATTCATGGGTTGATTTTGATGATTACCTGCGAAAATTGAGAGCAAGATGTAGGGAGAACGTGAAATCTTCTTAAATTTGAAATTCAAAATAGAGTGGAGGAGTGATTTTAGGAGAAAGAGATGTAATTGGATAGGAAAGATAAAATTAATTTTGTATAAAATTATATATAGAAAATCATAAATAAGTTTACTGGTATACAAATACGTGGTGGGTCCCATTAATTATGACAAAAAATACAATTATAATCATTCAAAGAAATAAATAAAACTATATCCTTATTAATTAATTTACTCAGTATAGTTTGTCATCTCACTTAATTTTCAAAAAAAACAAACAAACTAATACAACTACTACTATCAGCAAAAACTATATTTGTGTATTTATTTAAAGGTGCTACAATTGTATAATGTTTTTTTTTCATGTGCGTATCACAGTTTTTTTTATATGGATTATAGATATGTAACTAATTTAGGGGTTATAAAATATATATCTATGTTTAGTTTTAAAGTTAATATGTGTATTTATGTGTAAAATTGAGATTTTAGGAGAGAGATTAAAAAGTTTGAGAAAGAGAAAGAGGAAATTTATGTATCTATGATTTGTATATCACAATTAATTGAGATACAAATTGTATCCTGAAAAACGACTTATTCATCTTTTTGTCTTTTATCTCTCAATCTCCCTAGTCTCTCTCCTCTCTAAAAACTATTGCCATAAATACTAACTAGACAAACTGTATATAGTATTCATAATCATAATTCAAATTTTTTCTATTTATTAAAATTCCTCATAATTAAAATATACACACTTATGGTTCGACCCGTGACTATATCCCAAATTGTTTCGTATGAAATGTGGTCTGTGTCATTCATTAACTAATGAAAGAATTATCAGAATATATTTTATCATATTTTCTAATATTTGAAGAAATTACAAAATTATTACTCATTTCTATTTTTGGATACATTATTTACATGATGTATCGATCAAATACGTTACTTTACAATGTATTCGAAATCGAGACGTGAATGAATATATGTAAAATCGAGACACAATATATCGTGACGTTTTAGAATATATTAATATTCTATCAAATTAAATAGAAATATGATATAATTAGGTCTTTAACACTATAAAATTTTCTTATTTAATAAGTTCTGATACATACACACGCATACTAAGACAAAAGAGAAATGAACGAATTAATTAAGGAAAAACTATATAACTAAACATACATTACTATGATA